CAGCCCCCGTCTGCTCCACCCCTGGCAACTACCATTCTACTTTCTGACACTACGATTTGACTTCTCTAGGGAGCTTATATAAGTCATACCAATGCAGTTTTTAAATAATTGTTTAAGTATTTTTACAAAGGGCCCACAAAGTAATTCATTTAGTCATTTGGTTACATCAGCTGAAGGCAGCTACTATACTGAGCAACAGAAGCAGACTTTTTGGCAAACACCTTGTTGATTTTACTCCTAAAAATTTTAAATCTGTCTGTTTTCCTCCATCTCCTGCCCTGTACACCCCCTCTTCCATCCACCACGCTAAGGAACCATCTGTTGTTGCCTAGATGGTCTTACAGCCTCCTAATTGGTCCTCCTGTTGCCATCTTCCCTGTAATGCACAAACACATCTCAGCCAGCACAAGCATTCTAGTCTCCAGAGCAGATCACTGCACTGCCACCACCACCACCAGCAAGATCTATGGCCCCTAGATCACAGTCCCACTGTCTTAGTCCATTTGGTCTGCTATGACAAAATACCACAGACTAAGTGGTTAGTAAACAACAGAAATGTGTTGCTCACAGTTTGGAGGCTGGAAAGTCCAAGATCAAGATGCCAGCATCGTCACGTTCTAGTGAGGGCCCCCTTCCTGATTCATGCCTTCTCACTGTGTCCTCACGTGGTGGAAGGGGTCAGGGATCTCTGTGGGATCTCTTCTATAAGGACATTAATTCCAGTCATGGGGGCTCCACCCTCATGACCTAGGCACCTCCCAAAGGCCCTACTTCCTAACACCATCATCTTTGGGGGTTAAGATTTCAACATATGAATTCGGGGAGGGGATTCAAACATTCAGATCACATCGACCCGACTTTGGTGCCTGGTCCCCCTTCTGCTCCCCCATCATCTCAGGCAACTCCCCTCCCACCCCGTCATTTCAATACTTTGAACTTCAGCCATTTTCATTTCTGTATGAGTTTTCTATTGCCACTATAACTACCACAAACTTAGTGGCTTAAAACAGTGTAAATTTAGATCTTACAGTTCTGGAAGTCAGAAGGCCTAACTGGATTTCACTGAACCGAAATCAAGATGTCCACAGGGCTACAGTTCCTCCAGAGGTTCTGGGAAAGAATCCATTTCCTTGCCTCTTCCACTTTCTAGAGGCTGCCTTCATTTCTTGGCTTGTGGCCTCTTCCTCCATCTTCAAAGCCAGGAGCAGCATCTTTACATGTCTCCCTGACTCTAACTCTTTGCTTTACTGTCACATCTCCGTCTTCTGACTTCTGACCCTCTTGCCTTCCTCTTATAAGGAGCTCTGTGATTACACTGGGCCCACCAGTGTAATCTAGGGAATCTTGAGATCCTTAATTACCTCTGCCATGTCCCTTTGCCACGTAAGGTGACGTATTCACAGGTTCCAGAGATTTGGCTGTAGACATCTTTGGAGAGGGAAGGGTTATTCAGCTTACTGCCACACTTCAAGCTTTCTTTTGCCTCCAAGCATTTGCAAATGTTTTCTCTCTGCTCAGAAAATTTTCTCCTTCAGTGTTAAATTAGTGAATGGAGGTTATACCCATTCTATAACGCATGTCATGAATTGCTTAACAACACTTGTTCCCAAGACATTTCTAAGAACACTATTTGTCATCTATGCTGAGAGGAAAAAATTAAAAAGAAAAAAAGAAGAAAATCCTCTCCCTATCCCTTTTCCCATCTAGCACCATCAGTTTTCCTATCCCATAGACAAGGTCAAACCTTCCGTTTATATATTATAACACCCTGTACTTCTCCTTCATAATTTTCATTCCATTTCTATGTGACAGTCCAGTGATTGTCAGGTCCCTGAGGGTAATTTGGGGTATTGCCTTAGTTTGAGGTGCTCTAGAAGCAGACTCTGAAATGAGAATTCAAATGTAAGAAGTTTATCTGGAAAGCGATCCCAAGAAGCCCCAGGGTAGGAGCAGGGCAGTGATGCGGGGAAGAGAAGGCAGCCAGTAATGGGTTACCACCGTGGGCAACTGAGGCTCAGTCCTACCGGGACCTCTCGGAGATCGTGGAAAGTATATACCTCAGTTATCCCAGCCAAGAAGCGACAGAGCTAGGGTGCTTATCCACCAACTCTAGTCAGTCATTGATTGAGAGCTGTTCCCAAGGTTGAGGGGTAACGCCCAACACTTTTGGCCTGCCCTTTGAACGTACCAAAGCCAGGTTCAATGGCCAGAGACAGCCTTCAATCAGGGAGCTACAGGGGCTAGCAGGTGTGAAGACCAGAGAAATTGTGCTGAGGATATACTGTTGTGCAACCAACAACATTTGCTACAGGAAGGGATCATATCTGTCTTACTACTCCTGTATCCCTGGTACCTGGCACGTAACAAACATTGGGTAACTATGTGTTACATGAATCAATGAACAAATAAATAGATTAACTTAAAGTTTGCAGAGTGTTTCTATGTTCACGGCCTTTTTTTTACACCGACAAAAACAATAATTCTTTAATAACATCAAATATCATAGCATTCAAATTTGTCAAATTATGTCTTTCAAAAAAATTTGCTAAAGCACAATTCCAAGTAAGGTTCATACAGTCATGCATTACCTTATTTAATTTTCAGTTTTAGAAATGCAAAGTTTCCTTTGTAACCATCTGGTTCACCATGACTTTGCTGACTTCCTTACTATCTTCCAGGTTTCCTGGAAAATAAGAGACTGGCAGGGGAAGCAGTACAGCATCATCTGGGGAGAGAAGCAGATCTGGGCTTCCTAGCAGTGTTACCTTAAACAACTTACTTAACTTCTCTGAGCATCTGTTTTCTCACCTGTAAAACTATGGATAATAGAAGTACCTCTCTCACCAGGTTGCAATAAGGATTCATTGGTACAATATTGTATGTCATTTACCCCAGTGCTTGATATAGAGGGAAACCTCCATAAATGGTAAAATTCATGCTCATTTTTCATTGAGCTGAAATTTACATGACATAGTCGCTTTAAAGTATACAATTCGGTGTCATTTGGTACATTCACAGTGTTGTGCAACAACCACCTGTCTAATTTCAAAACATTTTCATGACCCCAAAGGAAGCTTCATATCCTGTAGCAATCTTTCCCGTTCTACACTAGGGAAGATCTTGCTGCTTCTCAGAGACATCTAACCGTGGGGAAATTCTTTGTAAAAGAGTAAGTTCCCTGACACAGAAGCAATCAAGCACAGGCTAGAATTTGCCAAGGACATTATACTGGGGAGACTCACATAGGACTAAAGCAGTAGTTCGCAACTAATAGATATTAGACAAAAACAGAGTTTCTCAACTAGAGCAATTCTGCCTCCCAGGGGACATTTGGCTATATCTGGAGGCATTTTTGGTTGTCACAGCTAGGGGTGGTAGTAGAGATGCTGCTAGCATCTAGTGGGTAGAGGCCAGGATGATGCTAAATGTCCTGCAGTGGACAAACAGAAACTCAGGGACATGGACAATGGACTAGTGGTTACCAGAGGGTAGGGGGTGGGGGAGGAAAGAAGAAATAGACAGGGTAAAAGGGGTCAAATATAGGGGGATCGGGGGAGGGTGAAGTGGGTAAAGGGAATCAAATATATGGTAGCTGAAGGAAATTTTACTCTGGGTAGTAATCACACAATAGAACATATAGATGCCAAATGATAATGTATACCCAAAAATTATATAATTGTATTAACCAATGTTACCCCAATAAACTTAAATTAAAAAAAAATAAACAATAAATAATAAATAAATGTCCTGCAGTTCCCCGGGGCAGACCCCGTGCCATGACAAAGAATTACTCAGCAGAAGATAGTCAATTGTGTCAAGTTTGAGAAGCCTTACACTAAACTAAGTGCTTCTAAGGATCATCTTCAAAGTCAAATGTTCTTTTTTAAATAGCTTTATTGAGGTATAATTGTCAGATAAGATTCGTGTATATTTAATGAGTACAACTTAATGTTTAATATACATAGACATGGTGAAATGGTCACCACAATCAAGCTAATTAGCATAGCATCGCCTTGCATATAGGTAACCATTTCTTCTTGTTGTGTGTATATAGTGAAAACACTTAATATCTACCCTCTTAGCAAATTTAAAATATACAATACATTATCATTAACTATAGTGACCACACTGTGCATTAGATTTCCAGAACTTATTCATCTTGTATAACTGAAAGTTTGTACCCTTTAACCAACATTTCCCCCATTTTATCCACCCTATCCCCACCCCCAGTCCCTGATAACCACCATTCCACTCTCTGCTTTTGTGAGTTTGCAAAGTTGAAAATTCTTGAGCAAAGAGCAAATCCTGGAAGGAAATACAGCAACATGTTAGGAGGGGTTATTTCACTGTATCCTTTTTTTCCATTTAGTATGTCACCCAAGGTTCCATCGTAAATACTTCTACCTCAAACTCTAGAAACTCTAGGTGATGAGAAGTTCTCTCCATCAGGTCCAATGCAGTGACTCGTAGTCATGTGGTCATCAAACCAAACAGTAAGTTATCTGCCCCATACACATCAAATGAACAGTGCTGGGAATCAAACAGGGGATGGAGATTTAAAACCTCCATGATGAATGCTCACTCTGGCAGCATATATACTAAAATTGGAATAATACAGAGAAGATTAGCATGGCCCCTGAGCAAGGATGACATAAATTTATGAAGCATTCCATATGTTTTTTGAAATATAAAAAATAATAATAATAAATAATAATAAAATAAAAAAATAAAACCTCCACGATAAAATGGGTAGAAGAGTTAACATTGAGTAGTCCCTGGTCATTAGCAAATGGCAAATCTTTCTAGGCAGACTATTGAAGATATCTTTCTCTGGCAATAAAGTGAGCTCCTTTTGCTCAAGAAAAACTCAGGATGTTGTTTAAGGGTTCATACCTGCAACAGTAGATAAGTCTTAGAGATCTAACACACAATACCATGATTATAGACAACAAAGCTGTATTATAAACATTAACCTTGCTAAGAGACTACATCATAATTGTTCCCACCACTAAAAGAAATGGTAATTATGTGACATGACAGAGGGATTAGCTACTGCTACAATGGCAATCGTATTGCAACATAATTGTATCACATCACTATGTTGTACAAGCATACCTCTAAGATATTGCCGGGTTTGGTTCCAGATCACTACAATAAAGAGAACATTGCAATTAAGTGAGTCACATGAATTTTTTTTGTTTCCCAGTGCATATAAAAGTTACATTTACACATTACTGTAGTCTACTTAGTATGCAAAAGCATTATGTCTATAAAAATAATGAACATACCTTAACCGAAAATACTTTATTGCTAAAAGAATGCTAACTCTCATCTGAAAAATGGCACAAAGAGACTTGCTCAACATAGGGTTGCTACAGACCTTCACTTTGTAAAAAATGCAACCTCTGTGAAGCAATGAGGTATGCCTGTACCCCTTAAACGGACACAATGTTATATGTCAATTATATCTCAATTTTAAAATGGTTTAAAAAACTCAGGAGTGAATTTGAAAGCTGAACACGTTTTGTTCCATTTTGTTTTGCTTTGTTAACTTGCAAGGGAGTCTCGCCTTCAGAGAACTGGCTCTCAGAATTAAGATTGACATATATTTAAAAGCTAACCCACAAAAGCACAGTTATTATGTTTAGCATTCTAACTGGTGGGGGGAAAATAGTAGTTCCTCACTGGTTCTGTGTAGGGGTCAGTACTGAAAAATATCAGCAATACATTGTTTTCTTTTAAAGAGTCATATGGGCCTATATTCGTTATCTATTGCTATGTAACAAATTATCCAAAAACTCAGTGGCTTGAAACAACATTTATTATCTCTCAGTCTTCTGTCTTGGGGTCTCTCCCAAAGCTGAAGTCAAGATGGCAGCTAGGGCTGTGGTCTCACTGGAAAGCTTGACTGGGGGAGGTTCACTCACAAGGTTGTGGAAGAATTCATTTCCTCACAGGCTGTTGGGTGGAGACTGCCCTCCATTTCTGCCACACAGGTCTCTCCAGCATGGCAGCTCACATCCTCAACGTGTGAAAACCAAAGCAAGTGAGACAAGCCAGAGAGAGAGAGAACACAACAGAAGTCATAGGCTTTTTGTAACCTAATCTCAGAAGTGACATCCGGTCACTGTTGTCATATTCTATTCATTAGAAGTATGTCACCAGGTCCAGGCCACATTCAAAGTAAGCAGGTCACACAGGAATGTGAATACCAAATGGGGCCATTGAGAGCAATGTCAGAAGCTGCCTACCACAGGGCCCAATATTTAATCTGTTTGGGGTTTTGTGAGAAGAAAAACTGTTGGGCAGCTTAAGAAAAAAACCAGGAGCATTATTTTTGTGTGGTTTTCTTAGAATAGAAGAGGTTTTTCTGACTGTCATATATGATATGCATGTTTAGGCATAATGGGAATTTGGATAAACTAAGGGAAAGTTTCACTTTCCCACTTCATTCTTCTCTTTTAGAGAAATTTCTTTGTCCACAGTCCTTGCTTTTGGGAGGGTCTTTCTTATTCATCTCTCTCCAAAAATACATCTTGAGTGGCATAAGAGATGAGACCTTGGTGAGGGAGGGTACAGAGTTCAAAATTTGCTTCCTGCTAGAATAGATTTAGAGCCGGGGATGTTTGGGGGCTTGCACGATCATCTTTTTGACACAATAGAATTGTGACAATTAGATTGAAATCCCTTTTCCAGCAGCGATTTTCCACCCAGATTTCACACACTGGCTGGAATTCTATCTCGCTCATTGGTTTCCATCTCTTTCCTCATCCATTTCTGAACGCAAAAACATGTTCGTGACTATTCCTTGCAAGAATAACCACAATTGTCATTTCTGCTTGATCATGGCACTAATTCATGATAATGATTCTTTTATCTTCATCTTGTGCCTCATTAATAGCACAGCCATTACAGCCATCATTAATTGCTATTAAATCATGGCATCCCACAGAGCTGAGGACAAGGTGCCTCCCTGAGAAACTTGATTCAGCCCATTGATAGTATCAGTTCATGGCCACCTCTATCCTGTTTCTTTCCTTCACCCTCCTCATGAAAAAGACATGCCGTGCATATACTACGCAGTTTCCAAAACAACGACCAGGTGACCAGAGCCAGTCTCCTTGTGTAGAATGAAGAGGCAGGTGTACTGGGCGTGGCAGGGGCTTGTCCACATCACCAACCAGTTTGTGAAGATCAATTAGGAGTCTGCAGCTACTGTCCAGATCATGGATGTTAGCCATCTCGACTAGAAAGTGATGTTGGAGAGAAAAGAATGAGTCTAAGAGGCATTTAGGGAGGAAAATAGAGTGCTTTCTAAATAACAGACAATTTTCTAAGTGCTTTGAAAATATTAACTCCTGACAATACTCAGTTAAGGTGGGCATTATTATCTCTTACTTTCATGACCCAGTCTAATTCTGAAGCCTTCTTCTTTGACCATTATGCTGTTGTGTCTTCTGCTCAATTATCTGCTTGTTCTAGAGTAAAGATTGCCCACTTATTTGCATCTCTTCTACCTTCACCCCCTTATGCACACGCACACACACACACACACACACACAATCACATACACATACACCCACATCTACAGCAAATTGGTAGAGAGGAGAACAGCTGAGACATATAGATGCCCAAGAGGCGGACCAGGCCACAGAATGCCACTGAGCACAGCAGGCCTAATGGAAACCCTGTATTCATTAAATAGTCCATTCCCTCCTTCTCCCAGCCCTTGAAATTATTATTCTGGGTTAATTCTGTTTATATAGATTAGTCTATTCTTATTCACAGCAACCCGAACGTCCATCAATGGATGAATGCGTAAACAAAATGTGTTCTATTCATACAACAGATATTATTCAGACAATAAAAGAATGAAGCTATGATATATGCTACAATAGGAATGGACATTTAAAGCATTGTTTAAGTAAAAGGAACTAGACACAAAAGGCCATATAGTACGTGGTGCCACAGGATTTCTCAAAACCCCAGACAACTGTGTTGTGCAACAAAGCTTTTGAACTAACGTCTTAAACTATATTGGGTCTCAATCAATAAAAGACTGATGCCCAGGCCATGTAGAGAAGGACAGAGAGAATTCTTTGGTTGCCAGACCTGCTTCAGGTTACCCTGAGCAACTGAGCTGGCTCACTTACTCTGCCGAGTTCATGCTGAATCGTCTCAGGCTGAACTTGGGAGAGCGGCTAAGCCCTTTTTTCTTTTTTTTTTTTTTTTTCTTGATCTGATCCTTGGGCTGTAAAGGAAAGAAAACAAGAGGATTCAGGAATCTGGGAGAGCTGCCGTCTGAGCCCAGCTGCACCACTTTTGAGCCCACTTACTTAATGTGTCTAAACCTGTTTTCCCCATGCAATCTGTCATTGTCAGGATAAGAGTTCCCATCTTTCAGATGCTTTGAGTAGGTACCTGAGACATGGCAGCTGCTTGCCTGTGCTCCCTATTGTATTGCAATCTCCGTGACTTGCAAAACTTTGATACGTTCTGAAAAAGGACCAAAAGTGCAAGAAGGAGGTGGTGATAAATTGATAGGGCACAAAATCCTGTCAGACAAGATACTAACTCGTCTTGTCTTGTCGGGTACCCGTGGGTTGTTTACCCTCCAAGGGAGCCTGGGATGATAAGTTTCCAAGTCCTTGAGCAACACCACCCCCTTTCATCTCGATGAGATTTTATTGTTGCAGCTCCACAGGCAAAGGGAGCCCAAGGTCAGGACCTGAAGTTCGAGAGGAACCTCGGGCTGGTGACACAGAAGAGAATAGAGGAATCAAGCAAGGAGAAGGTTCTATTGCTGCAAAGATGAATTCATGCATGTGCCCAGGGCATGTGCATGAGTTCTTTTGGGTACCTGGCCATTCTTTGGTCATATGTGAAAGCAGAACATAGTCACCATGCCTGTGAATTCACAGAAAATGGTGCCCAGAAGGTGTGTGCATGTTCAATGAACAATCAATCTCCCTTCACTTTTCTGCAAAACAGTCCAAGAACTGAGCAGCTCGGGGACAGGGTGCCCTCACCCACATCTGCCTGAGAAATAACTTTGTTTCAGGTCTAGTATGTCATTGCTGACACCAATTATGAACAATGTCACCTATACCTGGGGTTCAATCTTTTATTGATTGAAACCTAATATAGTATAAGGCATTGGTTCAAAAGCTTTGCTGCACATTGCAGTCATCTGGGGCTTTTAAAAATCTTGTGGCACCATATTCCATGTGGCATTTTGTGTCTGGCTTCTTTTACTTGAACATAATGCTTTCAAGGTCCATCCATATTGTAGCATATATCAGAGCTTCATTCTTTTTTTATGTCTGAATAATATCCATTGTAAGGCTAGACCACATTTTGTTTACTCGTTCACTCACTGATGGACATTTGGGTTGCTTCCACCTTTTTGTTATTGGGAATAAAAATAGACAAAATCCACAGAAAGATAATTAATCCAGAATAATGGGTGCAAGGGCTGGGACAAAGAGAGAATGTACTCTTCAATGGGTAAGGGTTTTTCATTTGAGATGATGAACATGTTTTGGAACTAGATAGAGGCGATGATTGCATAACATTGCGAACATACTCAATGCTACTGAATTGTGCCCTTTGAAATGATTGCAATGGTAAATTTATGTTATACATGGTCTGGGGCCCCAACTAAATCAGATCTCTGGGG